CCTGGCAGCGCCCGCCGTTGGCACAGGGAGAGCTGTCACACTCGTTGATATCTTCCTCGCACCGGGAGCCTGTGAATCCTGCTGGGGCGGGAGTGGGTGGGGACAGATCCCTTTTTTCTTTACATGTATTAGGGAGTTTGTTACAAATGTTTGACCAAGCTTTACAGGCAGGATTTCATGGGTTCAAAGAAATTAAGAGTTTTACACTGATATTTAGTCTCTTTTCACATATACAGAAACGACATCGCTGCAGATCAAATGGCTTGGTGTGGGGTTTTGGCTAAATACACCATTATAGAACGAAAGCACCAATTTGAGGGCTTCTTAGTGATTGGAGTTTCAGGACATAACAGAGGATAATTTGGTAACTTTATTCTTCATATAAATAAGGCATCACTGGATATAAGTACTAATGCTGAAGATACATTTTATCAAAAGCATAATACCAGTCTTGGCCTTTCCCCTGGCCAGGAAAGGCGAACCTGGAGGGCGTCCCAGAGGAGATACCTGGGGCAGGTGCAGACGATAGGACGGTGATACAGGAAAGTGAAGTTCAGCCACCTGCCAGCTGTGTGACTTTGGGAAGCTACTGGACCCCTCCAGGCTCCAGTTTCCTCCCTGCAAAGGGTTAATAATGGGACCTACCTCAGGGTGCCATTGGAAGGCGTCAACAAGATAACACCTGAAGAGTACTGCCAAGTTCGAGGCCCCAAGTAAATATTCAATAATCACNCACCTGAAGAGTACCGCCAAGTTCGAGGCCCCAAGTAAATATTCAGTAATCACCAATAAACACCAGTTGTTATCACAGCAGAGGACAGGAGTCCAGTGCAGCACAGGAGGCCTGGGGCGCTGTCCCTGCATGTGGCGGACAGTGCCCAGGTCAGCCTGGGACCCTGCACTCACCGGGCAGGCAAGTGCAGTGGAAGCCGTTGAGCTGGTCGTGGCAGTCGGCCTGGTTCAGGCAAGGAGCAGAGGCACACTCGTCTGTCTCCAGCTCACAGAGGCGACCTTCTAAGCCTGAGGACATGGAGCTGTGGTGAGGGCCAGGTCTTCTGCCCAGGCAGCCTGGATTCTAGAACCAGCCTGCCCCCACTGCCATGGCCCCATCAGGCACCCCTCCCAGGGTGTTGTGTGCACATGAATTTGCAGAGATGAACATGAGGCCCTGCTGCTCTGCTGTGTGGCTCTGCTACCTTTGGCGAGAAAGCTCCAGGAGCAGAGCGCCTGCCGGGACCTGTGGAAGAGCTGCCAGGATGACCCTTTTGGGGCCATTCCTCTGCTTACAGAAGGCGGGCTGATGAGTTTAGAGGTCCCAAAGGGACAAATGAGACAAGAGGACATCTGCTTGGAGGTGATGGGTGTCCTCCCAGGCCTCTGTGCGAGGGAGACCGGGCTTCCCAACAGGGGCATTTGAAGGGCATCGGGGAGGCTGCTCCGTTCCAGATTTGCCCTGTTTCTTCGGGCTGGTCCTGGTCTCCACTGTCTCACCCTGAACTAAAGCTGGATCAGCCTCTGGACCACGCTACCTCCCTCTCCTGCCTGGGAAGCCTGGCTCTGCAGCTCCTTGATGTCTACAACCTTGTCCCTTGGATTATTGAAAAGTTTTCTCAGCATTTTTCCTTGGAAACCGCTCAGCTTTAAGAAGGCAGTGTAGTGGGGTGGCTAACACGATCGAAGCCCTGGGTTTGAGCCCTGGCTCTGCCACTTACAAGCTGGGTGACCTTGGCCAGGTCACTTAACCTCTCTGTGCTTCAGTTTCTTCATTTATAAAGTGGGCACAGTAACAATGCCGAGCTCATAGGGTTATTGTAAAAATTGAATGCCTATAAGCTGCTCAGGTAGTACCTGGCACAAAGTAAGCTGTTATTCTGGTTTCATTCCGCTCCCTGGTATTGGCTGTCATCTCCCTGGGAGACCTCCCCTTTATAGCTAGCGTGGAGCAGGTGCAGCCTTGCAGCGTTCCTTTCCTGGTGCACCAAATTCAAGCACACAGGCCCTTTGGGATTCGGAGGCTTTACTGTCAAGCTCTACAGAGGAGAGTTTCTGTATTCGGAGGAGTGCTCTGGTCTCCCCTGAGGGGCCTTCGTGTACAGTGGACCAGGTTGCATTCTTTACAAGGACTATGAAATGGACCCCCCCCCCC